TATTTTTGACTTTGGAAGGGGCAGGATCAGGTAGCTAGTGAGCCAATACAGCACCATAAAAAGAGAATCTCTGAGCAATTCATTAGTTTATTTTTTATTCCAGACTCTCATGGAATTTCAAACATCGAAGAAATCACTAAAGGCTTGCCAAAGGACATGCCAAAATTTACAATATATTTGATTTTTTTCAAATTTTTAATTCAAACCTAAATCCTGACTCTGAGGACCTCCACCTTGGGGGAAGTTTGCATGTATATCTAAGTTTCATGACTATCACGCAACTTTATAAGGGCCTGAGCCAAAAGCCTGGATCTGAGTAACACTGACATTTGGGGAAGTTTTGGATCTGGATCTGAGTCATGCAGCTTTGGCCCATCTCTAAATACTTAGTTATCATTTGATTGTAGGATATTCAATGGCCTACATCACCATATTGTTCAAGCACCTCATAAACATTAATGGATTTAATCTCTGTTTTATGAGTGAGGATGCAGTAGCTTACAAAGGTTATACGAGGTGTTAGTGGCAGAGTAAGGTTTAGGACGCAGCCAATCCCAGTGTGTTAACTACAGAACCATTGTTGCATGACTATTTTAAAACAAACATATGAGTAGAGAAAAATATTAACATGGATGTTTGTTAGCATATAAAAAATATTTTGATGTCAATGGTAATGGTAAATTATTCTAACTAAAGTCTTAGTCTGATCTTCCTGGTATAAAGTACATTGCATCTAAAGTCTCTTCACTGATTATATCACTTGTTAGAATAAATGGAGTCTGTACCAGTCAGATTCCTGGGTGACCATAATTCATTGACAATGCTAAAAAGAAGTTGAAAAAATTAACATGCAATCAATCAGAAACCACTCTACAGTGAAAACTTCATTTTTGAGGTTCTATAGATATACTGAATGCCTTGCCGTGGCTCTTCCATTCAAGAGGACTCTATTCTATTATATATACACCTCTACCTCGATACAACGCTGTCCTCGGGAGCCAAAAAATCTTATCGCGTTATAGATGAAACCACGTTATATCGAACTTGCTTTGATCCGCCGGAGTGCGCAGCCCCGCCCCCCCGGAGCACTGCTTTACCGCGTTATATCAGAATTCGTGTTATATCGGGTCGCATTATATCGGGGTAGAGGTGTATATATACATTTTTGTACTGTGCTCATCATGAAGTATCTGAGTGCCTTCCAGTAGTGCATTAATCAACGTGACTACACATCTATCACATGTTTGTGTTCTCATCTTATCCCTAGACAAAGAACCATGTACAGTGTGGAATATCTTGTTTTGATAAGGTGTGGTTTTTAAAAAATATATAAATATACCTGTTGCTGCGTGTTTATGTAAGCAAAGGCAAGGTTAAATACATACATCTTGCATTTGGAGCAGAAGATGGTGAGGTTTGTGATGGTCCTTCGTTTCTGGCAAATTCTTCGTACAGTTTGACCACCCCCCAAAAAAATTCTGTCTCCTGTACAGACAAGCTTTACTCTTATTCTTGAGAGTTTCATTTTGCCAGAGGAATGCAATTGTCAACCATGGTCTTCATCCAAAAGCTTTAGACGATCTTTAGATATCCCGGGCCCAGGCCATGCAGCGCATTAAAGATAAGGACTGAGACTTTGAACTTGATTCTATGGGAAGCCATTGTAGAGAGCAGAGGACAGGTTTGATATGTTTGCAGTAGCCTTTGTTGCTGAGGAAGACAGTTCTGAACTAGTTGGAGTTTCCTAAGTGCTGAAGCCTTCATGCCGAGGTATATTGCATTGCCGTAATCCAGCAGAGAGATGATGAAGGCATGAATAACTGAAGCCAGGTCTTCATCTGCCAGGATGGGATGGCATTTCCTAGCCAAGCAGAGATGGTAAAAAGTGTTGTTTGCAGATTTGTTATGTGAGAGTTCAGCATCAGCAAGAAATCCAAGAGTACTACTGGACTACTGACTGAATTGACCAGTTGTGGTTGTGTATCTTCAACTAATGGACGCTGCACCATGACTACAAGTTCTTCAAAGTACTTTCCTCTGTTCACCAGCATTACCTCTGTCTTTCTGGTTCAGCATCAACTAGCTGTTCTTCATCAAACAGCTGATCTCATCCAACCATTAGGCCATCTTGGTGATAGTGAAGTGGTTGTTAGGATTCAGTCATGATTTACTGTACCAAATTACTGACCAACAGATTTTCCTTTTAAGCATTGGCCTCTAATTAATGTTCCAAATAGCTCCAGCATTTCCCATAAAATCTGAAGATGTATGTTCAGCAGGGATTATTGTCAATGGAGTCCTTTCTGCTCTGGCTAATTGTAATATGGCTGTAAATATATGTTTTCTATAGAGATAAATATGGTTACAACAATTCTTTGCTTTTGTTTTTTATCTTACAGTTTTGCTCAATTTAGTTTGCCTAATACACCTGAGTTTTGAAGGAAAATTGCACATACACCTTAGTCAAGAGTTAAATATTGTAATGAACAGGCTAGTGAAGTGGTTCCCCAACCTTTTTGTGGCCAGTAGCACATTCATGTTTTCAGAAGAGTATGGCGGGCGCCAACAATTTTTCAAGGCTTATTTTGTATTGTACATTAAATAATACGAAAAATATCATATTTAATGTTACATAATATATGAATCCAGAGAGAAGAGAGAAGTTGCGAGGACAGAGAACACCGGCGCCCACCGCCCCGGAGTACTCTGTCCTCAGCAGACGCGGGCCCTGGCTTCTCTCCCCTGCTGGGCACTAGGCGGGCCCCGTGCCTGCCAGGGACCGAGAACACAGGCGCCTGCAGCCCTGGAGTTCTCTGTCCCAGGCAGGCGCGGGGCCGCAGCTTCTCTCCCCTGCTGGGCACTAGGTGGGCCCCACACCTGCTGGGAACAGAGAACACCGCGCCCGCAGCCTGAGTTCTCTGTCCCCATCAGGTGCGGGGCCACAGCTTCTCTCCCTTGCTGGGCACTAGGCGGACACACGTAAATGCCCCAGCGGGTGCCATGGCGCCCGCAGGCACCACGTTGGGGACCACTGGGCTAGTGTGTATGTGTACCACTTCCCTCTTCTGTATGGAATCAGAACTGCTTGACTGTATATCTTGGGTCTATACTGCTAACAGCTAAAGAAGACTCTCCTTTAGCTCAGGCAGTTGGGGTATGTGCTTTTGAACAGGGGATCTGAGATTTTGCCTTCCTGTTGTTCAGTGTAGATAGTGGCATGGTACTGATACCGTTTGATAATCATATGATTATGATTAAGGCATTATAGTCTGTGTTATCGCAAATTAGATTAAAATGATTTTAAAGACAGATTTTTTTAAACGTTTCCCCTCTTGTTATTATAGGTAGAGTTAAGGTTGTTTAAGTGTCTTAGCTGTGCATTTCCATACTTTTAAAATGGCGGGGGGGGTGGAGTTAGTGTTAGCCTTAAGTCTGAAATTCCTACGTTTGTAGCTCTTGGTGTTTCCCTATCCCCATGGTGTTTTTTTTACACTTAAGTTATTGATTGTACTCTCAGCCTTAATTGCGTCTTAATGTGGGGGGGGGGGTTGTTTTATTTTGTTCTTGTTTTGGTTTGGTTTTGTCTGGGAATTTTAAAAAATTATTACAAATATCACACATGATCACTAAACAATAAATGCAAAGAGAATGCTACCATGCAGTATTTCTAATGATTTGAAGATACATTGAATCAATGTTAAAATCGCTTAAAAAAAACGTTTAAGGACAAATTCATCAGTATACCAGACAAAAACAAAACAGCTAACATACACTGGTGAATCTGGCCCTTAATATGCAATTGATTTGTTGGAGTAGAGGGAAATTATAGAGATTGATGCTATGCAAAAAGACAGATTAGTACTTTTAAAAGGCTCCCGCTGTGCTCCCTGGCAGTGCTGCTTTGGTGCACAATGGAATCAAGGCATGAATGCTATTAAGAGCCTTGCAAACACTACTGCTCAAGCTGGCTTGCAAGCACAGAACCTTTAGAGAACAGTGAGAGTTGAGCCAAGTAATCTACCATCTTGATACCTGTCCAGTCTCCCTTATATGGATTCCTTACAGCTATAGAATTGGCATCGTAATTGGTCAAGTTACCTCTGATGTTACACTGGCCCTATTTTAGAATTACCTGAGCTGTTGAACTGCCCTATATAATCATATCAAGTAGCTACAGCAATCATTAATAATTTAGTTTAATTACATCCTAATTTCTCCAAATGTAACCTATGCAGAAGGTTTCAATTAATTTTAACTATATGGTACTCTTGAAGATTCTGTGTCATTCCATTCTTAAGATCAATCACAAGAAAGAAAAGACTGAAACAGATGTTAAAATTCCTGAAATGATGCATTTTGAATTAATTTTAACATGAACTAATTAACTGTTTACTTGTTAATTTACTGTAAATTCATTGTACACTCAAACAATAGATACTGCAACTTTGGATAAGATATGCTGCTTTTTCATACATACCAAAGAGGTTAAAACCCTGCTTTAAGTATAAAATTAAACTCAACTTTAACTATTGAGCCATAGCGAATGCTTCTGTAGTTATTTTTTTGTTTCTAATCATTTTGTCACTTGTGTCTAAATTCCCTCAATATCTGCTCATTTCTCTTTGAAAACCTGAGAATATTCTGTGGGCATCCTATTGATTTGCATAATGGCATTAGAATATATTTTTTTCTTCTGAGTCCTATTTTTTTTCCCTTTACTTGACTACTGGTACACATTCCGTAAAGGTTTCTGTAGAAATGTCTGCAACCTAGGCCTTTTTTCCTGTACAGTTAGTTAATTTATAATCCAGTAAGGTGTGTGAATAGTCCAAAATCTTTCTTCCAAGTAAAGTGTATGAGTACAATAATACAATATAGGGCAGAAGCTCATGACTTTATTATACTCTTATCCAAAATCTGATTTCAAGGACTAACAATTTTATATGTGCAATATTGGATTGTTTCCTATTTTTAAATTTACATTTCCTTTGTATTTGTAGGTATGGCATGAATTGCCTTATTCAGTTTGAGGATTTTGCTAATGCCAATGCATTCCGCCTCCTGAATAAGTATCGTAACAAATACTGCACATTCAATGATGACATTCAAGGTAACAAAATATTCTCTTCCTACTCTATTTGGGTGGTTAGAAGATAGGAAGTGCTTGAAGTGCAATGGGCTGCAAACCCAGGAAATTTAATTTCTAAAAAGTTCATTGCGTCGCTGTGGAGTGCACAGTTTTACTATTGCTTAGGGCAAAATCCGCTCTGATTGGCTTCTTTCCCTATTATCCTTCCTCCTGGAAAAGCACAGTTGATCATGGCTGCTGCAGGAAGCAGTCAGAACTCTGTGTCCTCCCCTCAGCAGCTGACACCATTCTCACTGGAAGGTAGGGAGGAGGAGGGAACAGAAACAACCCAGCAGCTCAAGGTGGCTCTGCTCCCTCCTTCCTGCTCTCCTTCTCTGAGCAATGGACAGCTCTTGTCTGCTCCCTCCCCTGCTCCCTGCAACACACAGCCTGGGTGGACCCCAAACTGCAGCTACTCCCCCTAGGCCTGGGAGAGATGGTGAAGAACCCCAGGAGCTGCTGGGGAGGCAGAGCTGATGTGGGGAACAGATTGAGAGCAGAACTGAGGGGGGACTGGTGGGGACAAGATCAGTTTGGAGATTGAGGGACAGAATTAATTGCTGAGCAGATGGACGGGCACATGTGGTGGTGATGATGATGATAGACCCCCCACATGCAACTTTTTCAGACCACTTCAGGTACTGTGGGGGATATGAACACCAGGCTTCCAGTGACATATTTTTATTCCTCTCCTTTTCCCTTTTAATTTACATCCTACACTCCATCTAATTCTAGACATTAATTTCATTAACTTTTTAAAAGTTAAGGCTGTGTGATATAACTTCTCTTGCAATTTAACTTCAATTCTTCTTTGTGCTAATGTCTAGAGATCCATTACTCTGGATACTTCAGCCTGCTTGCAGCTTAGGGGCAAATCCAGACCTCAGTCACATGTAGCATGGGAATGCCTCCTGAAGGTTCCCTTCATTTTTTTCTGCCTCCACAACAGCTGACAGCTCAGCCAGGCCTTCCTGCTGCAGTGCTTTTCTGAGGAGAAATCTAAGCTTTATTTTAGATTTTTAGACTAACGATATGGCACAATAATGTGTCTTATTTCCAGCAATATCCCAGGGCTGCATTTGATTGTTTGGGTTTTTTTTGCAGAGATTGTCCCCTCAGCTTTCCTTCTCCTTCTGAGGCATTTGTAGCTTCTGGTGCCCCTGGAGGCTTCAGGCAGAAGGCTTGGCCAAGAAAGGCCAGAGGAAAAAGGAAGGGTCTGTGTCTCCTGCTCCCTCAAGAGTCTCATTGGGGAGCTCTGTAAACAGAATTCAGTTTCCCTGACAGCCTAGTCAAGGTGGTGTCACCCCACCCCACCCCTGGCAGGAAAAGAGCAAAGAAGATTTGGAGTGGTTGCCTGAACTGGGCAAGAAGCAGAACAGAACACTGGCTTTCAGGGGTTACCTCCTGGAGTCTTATTCCTAGTCTGGATCCTCAACTGCAGCGTACCCGCTGAACCCTTCTGCTTGTTAGTTGGCCTTCTCTCAGGCAGCGCCGCCCAGAGGATTCAGGGGGCCTGAGGCAAAGCAATTTTGGGGGCCCCTTCCATAAAAAAAAGTTGCAATACTATAGAATACTATATTCTTGTTGGGTCCCCCCAGGGGCCTGGGGCAAATTGCCCCACTTGCCCCCCCACTTGCTCCCCAGGCAGCCCTGCTTTCAGGCCCACTTAAAGAGACTCCTTCACCCCTGCTTCCCTCTCCATTGGGATCAGGGGGTAAACTCCAGCCTGTGTTCTGCCACCACTACTGTACTCTTATAGTTCTTCTCTTCTTTTCCTGCACCCCACTTCTACTCTGAGCTTCTTTCCTTCATAGAAACCACCTGCCTCCTCTCCCAGCTGGGACTCCTCTTTAATTTTGCCTGGCCCACCCGCCAGGTGCATGTAGGTGGTTAATTGGCCTCTTGGGCCCACATTAACCATTCTTCCATCTTTGTGGAGTGAACATCCCATTATACATGGTTCTCTCAACCTAAAAATTGCATGGTCTAGGGGCTTCTTCTTGGAAATAAAAATAAAAAGTGGGATTAAAATCTGTTTTCATGCAGGTATGTAGAGCTTTAGTCCTTGGGATCAGATCAATTCCCAGCTATCTTAGTGATAGTGGGAAACTTTATGGAAAGTTGAGGCTATTAATAGTTATCAGAAAAATTGACTTGCGGTCCTGACACTGTAGAATCTTAGAATATCAGGGTTGGAAGGGACTTCAAGAGGTCATCTAGTCCAACCCCCTGCTCAAAGCA